TTTGAGGGGGTCTATAAGTTATGATTTTTTGGTTAAAAGTTCGTGTTTTTTGCTTATAAGTTAGACTTCGCAGCTTCTCAGCCTAAGGGCACTTCTCAACTGATCCGCTCCCTATATATATATATATATATATATATATATATATATATATATATATATATATATATATATATATATATAGAGAGAGAGAGAGAGAGAGAGAGAGAGAGAGAGGATCAGGTCAGAAGTGCTCTTAGGCTGAAAACTGTGAAATTAAACGTGTAGACTAAATATAGGAACTTTTAACCAAAAAATCATAACTTATAGACCCCTTGAAAATAATTACGAAAATGAGAAGACAATTTAACGTTAAAATGTCTTTAATTCTAATGAGAAGACATTTTAACGTGAGAAGTGAGAAGTTACACATTTACCTATTCCTGGTGCACTTTTTTGCTAATCTGATGCACTTTTTGCGATGGCAGAAAAGTTCCGATTAATTACGGAAATGCCACCACGTCTAGCATCACTTTTTAAATATTTTTTGCACTTTCCCGTGCACTTTTTTGCTAATCTAATGCACAGATCTTAAAATGAACGCACCAGATGCATTCTCACATCTTACGATAAGCACTCTTCTAATTTGATCCTTATTATATATATATATGGGAGTGGTTCCTGTGAGAAAGGATTTCCAGGAAAGAAATGAGAATGAATCTGGACCGTCGGATTGTATTATCTAAAATTGAATTGTGCATATGGTAAAACTGAAATGTGCATTAAATGAGATTGAAATGTGCAAAATGAAAAGTTAAATTCAAATGTGCATTATGTGAAATTGAAATGTGTAGAATAAAAGACACAAATATGTCACAACATTGTAGTTTTTACTCTGCACATGCATTTCAGTTTCACATTGTGCACATTTCAGTTTCCTCTAATGCACAATTTAGCTTCACATAATATCACGGTGTCTTACCTTTTGTGTTGCAAATTTCGATTTCACCTAATGCACATTTTAGTTTTACTTAATGCATATTCAATTCCACAAAATACAATCTAACGGTCCAGATTCATTCTCATTTCTCTCCTAAGATCATTTTCTCACTTGAACCTGATTATATATATATATATATATATATATATATATATATATACACACACACACACACACACACACATATATATATTGGAAAATTCTCAGGTCCAGCACCTCCCGGTTCGAATGCCGTCCGAACACCGCCGTTTGGGACGGTAGGAAAATTCTCAGGTCCAGCACATCCCGGTCCGAACGCCGTCCGAACACCGCCGTTTGGGGCGGTTCCCGGTGGAATGTTTTGATGAAATTTTTTGAGCATGTTCCTAATCAAGTCTAGTTTATCCATATCAAATTTCAGCTCAAAATTCGATCGGGAAGGCAGTCAAATAATTTATTGAAGTTAACTGCGTTTTTCTATGTATAATTTGGCGCAGTTAACTTCAATCAATTATTTTTCTATGATAGGATTGATCTGTGATAGGATTGGCGTATTAAATAATTTTGATTTCTTCCCATCAATATATATATTGATCTGTGATAGGATTGGCGTATTATTTAAGTTGAGTAATGTATCTTCAACGACCATTTAGTTGTATTTTTCACATTCAAAATTTTATTGTCATTTTTTTGAAGTACTACGTATATTACAATTTCCATTAAATCCTTAGAGACCCAATGATCCACCCAAATCTTTAATTCTAACTTAGCGTTGTTATTTTGATTTGAAATAATTACACACGTATTATGTAAATGTTGCGTACACAAATGTGACTTTTTAAGTATAATGACTAGTCTTCCATAAAAAGTACAGCGATTATAGTAGTAATTCTGTCATAGTAACTCGCGTTCAATTTTTACACTTAGGTGTCTGTGAAATTTGAGTGTAGTAACTAATAGTAGGGCTGCACAAGAATAACCCGAACCCGCATAACCCGCCCGATCCAACCCTACCCGACCCTATTTAATCGGGTATTTAATTTTAAAAAGTATTCATGGGTTAAATATGTACGAACCCGCACCTAATGGGTAGGGTTGTGGAATTGAAATCTCAAACCCGATCGTAGCTGACCCGACTAATATTATTCATTTTGCTATTATTGTGCTACAATTTTTTCTTGAACAACTTCAATCTACGACAAATGTGCTCTATCTAGGACTTTATGATATTAGAATTATAATTAAACATTTACTCCGTATCATTTTGACTATGTGATTATTATATATTTACAAAATGATCTTCCTTTACGAAAGGATGTTTTAATACTATTACCCAATGTTTTTTTAAAAGATGCTTGTATTTGTTTGTGTGTTTTGGAAACAAGTTGATCGAGTTTCAAGTTGGTTACATTAGTTTCCCACATTAAAGATGCAACCCGGTGTGATTTTTTTTTTTCAAAAACCCGACCCTACCCGACCCGTTCGTGTATGGTTTAACAACTTATATTGCATATCGCGGGTTGGTTTATAGCCAACCCGAACAAATTGGGTAGGTCCAAAAAATATAGCAAACCCGACCCAACCCGCCCGATGTGCAGCCCTAATTAATAGTCATATTTTTATAAATAAGTTTCATTTTACTAATATTTAAAAAAATCTCTTTTGATCTAGAACATTTAAAGGTGGATGACAATGAACTTAATACTCCTACCATCCTATTGGACTTTGTTAGGCCAAATAGTAAATATATAATTTGGAACATCCAAGTCTCGGATAATATATTCTATCAAGAGTCGGCCACTCTATGAGGTGAGAGGGCACTCGAGGTGAAAAGGGGTAGTCTGCAAATGTATCAATTGCATGCCTCCATGTCTTTGTTCTTGATGGCTTCCTCCTATGCCGCAAGACCCCGTCCTTATCCATGATGGGGAGGTGGCTCATTAAAATCTTTATAAGAAAAACTCTGGTGGAAAAAATAATCCTAATAAGGGAATATGAATACACAAAATGCCCCCGAAATGAAGTAAGAAGGGTAAGTCTCCATTGTTGCTTGATGTGTGTAGTATGCTCAACTTTGTCCTTTAGCTTCAACTTCAACATCCTTCAAAGAGCTTCAGCCTTTGCTCGTGTGAGTTCATCCTTTGCATCTTCGGTGACGGCGAGTCCCTCGTTCCTCCCAGTCCCTCACGGCCTCACTCTTTGAGGTGAGTCAAGACGAGGTGAAAAAGTTTAAAACGGTCATCCTTTAATTGTTCTTATGAATTTAAGTAAAACTGTTATAATTTTTCAGAGTTTGGAATTTGCTATTTGGATTTCAAACTCATTATTCAATAATAGTGGCCACAAATTTCCAAGGTAGAGCAGCTCAAGTTCATACGTAGGACTCAACTTGTGCTATGGATGACTCCCCTAAAGTCGGAGCATGACATCTAGAGAGAGAGGAACGCATAATAACTTAAACAAAACACAAAATTCAGAGTATACAATAGTTTACATTTAAATTATGGTTTACATTTAAATTGAGAGCTTATGAATCACCACACTCCTATAAAAAGGATGACATCCCATCTCTGAGGGGCCCTCAATCCCGACCAGACGGTACGTTGGGAGGATGTAAACTAGACTATAATCCCAATTTGGGAGAGAGAGAGGGAGGCTCTGTCCTCAGTACTTGCACAGGCCCTATATTTTTTACATTTAGCATAGTCACCTCTCCTCGCAATTGCCGAGATTCGAACCCGGGACCTAACGCTTGTGGCACTCCCTCGCTACCAGTTGAGCTACGCCCACCGGTAAATCACCACACTCCTATGACATGACCTAATGATGCGATTCTTCAATACTGAGAAAATGTACATTGTAGGATCTGATTTCATAAACCTATTTTTGAATATAAATATGTGCACTACTCAACAATAAGAATAAAAGTTTTTTGGAAAAGTTTTTTCTTAATTTTTTTAAATAGGACAAAGAGAGTATAATTCATATTATGACAAAACATACTTATAAGACATTACGTTCTCAAACATACTTAATTAACTTGTTATGCATCTTAAATAAGCACACTAACTATGTTTATATTATGACATTTCAAATTATAATAAAAGCTTGGTGTGCACAAGTGTGCGTGCAGCCGTGCACTCATACGTGCACGCGCACTTATGTATGTGCAAGCGCATGTGAACTTGCTCGCATAAATAGTTTAATTGATATGTTTTGCATTACTCGCACGGGTAGCTCAAAGATGGCTAAGTGGGGTTGTTGGATTGAGTCATTGAGGTCTCAGATTCAACTCCCGGTAGCGACAATATGAGAATTTCAATCCATAAATTTTTTTGTAATTAGAATGCATTTAGAGCTGCAAGTATGCAACTGACCGTTACTGACGAACTCCTTATTTCTTACTAACATGGACCAAAAGCATTTGACTTCAAAAAAAGCGACACAATTAGGGCCTACCTGACCTAAGCAACAGTGTAAAAACTCGCCATCCTCTCACAAGTCACAACCAGAACAAGATCATGCAATACTTTCTTTTGGACCCCATAATTAGGTGACAATTCCGGTACCCATTTAAAAAATGGAGTACCATATCTACCACTTACGGCCTGTTTGGATTGAGTGTTAGCGGGTGTTAGTAATGGAAGTGTTAGTAAGTGTTAGTAACGGTCCAGAAAGGAAGGTAAGTGTAAGTGTTAAACATAACCTTACCTTGTTTGGGAGAGCTAAAAAATTGAAGTGTTAGTAATGGAAGTGTTTTCACATAAATTGACAAAAATATCCTCAAGTGTTAATATTAACTATAAGTCTATATATAATAATACATTCTCCACCTAAATGCTCAAAAATTGCAATATGATAAAATTAAAATATTCTACATTAAAATATTTTATTCTACAAGTGCTAAAAATATATTTTGTGCAATATGCTAAAATTAAAATATTCTACAGATATATGTACATATCCTACGTAAAGTGTTAAACAACGTGGATGGACACTACACATTAAACTAAACCCTTAACTTGTATAATTTATTTTTCAAAGTCACGACTCTCAATTTCAATTATAAATTACGACCATTCGAAAAATGTGTAATACATGGGACCAAAAAATATGAGCAAAATTAGTTCCAAATCATCAAATAGCAATACAACAGTTCCAGACCAAGCAAAAGTAATATAGTCTCAAAGTGCATAAATTGTTTGAACGTTAAATTAAAAAATATAATGATAAAACGTCAATTCGCTAGCTCATGCCATCATGTCATAAAGAAGACTGCTCTGGCTTTCAACTGGACATCCAAGAAGAGCTCTCAGCATATCGGGCTTCTGAACAAGAAACAGATAGCATGCATTACGATGCTCAGCAGCAATATTTAAATCAACTAATAAATTCCAAACTTCACTTTCTGAGATTGGAAGAGTGGTCGCTTTAACGATTTCAGATGTTGAAGTTGTGATAGCTTGAGCGACATTATCAAGTCCTTCTTTGAGAAGCACAACTTCTCCATCAACTTTAGCCTTCTTCTTCTTGGCTTTTCCCTTTGAGGATGCCTTGTCATGAGATATTGAGTGAGACCGCACAATTTCTTCTTCATTTTGAGTAGGGACCCCTTGAGCTGTATTTCTCTGTCCACTTTGTTGAGATGTAAAAGGGTTTTCCACATTAACATCACTTTCAAGTATTGAATCCAAATCATCAATATTATCCAATGATGTGTAAACTTCGCTCTCTTCATTAAAAGTATTTTTTCTTTTTCTCATTTCAGCTGCAGTTTCCGCATGAATCCCATCAGCTCTATCTTTCGCAAATAGCAAGCATAACTTGTGAAAGTTACGCATTTGCTTATTTTTCCATTCTGCAGCTTCTGGTTTCACCTAAAAAAATATTTTTCACATAAACAACATATCCATACATACGAAACTTAAAAAAAAAATTAATATACCTCAATCAAGCGTTGCCAAACTTCAGGTTCAGCAGTGAACATTTCCGTCGCGGGATTCCAACCAAAGCCACTAGCACCATATTTGAATAAGTCGTAACATGGATACCAAATCCTTTTGATATTCTTCATCCGATTTTGAATCTTATCCTTGTCAATCGGTTTATCAGGAAACTTTTCTTTTAGTTCCTTAAGGATATTATCATAAGCGTGTGTAGTGAAAGTTCCACCCACTCTGTTGCCTAGAGTATCTTGATTCAAATATGCATCAATAAGAGCATCATCCATGAGCTTAGACCAAATTAATGAGCTAGTTGATTTACTTGCACTTGAACTGTTGTCATCCAAAGTTTTCCTTCTAGGAGCCATTCTTCACAAATATAAACACACTAATATATTATAATATGAATCAACATAGTTCTTAAATAAAAATTCAAATTAAAATGACAAAATTTATTACACTAGCAGTTAATTCAATGGTTAAAAAAACAAAAAAAAAACAAAAACACATAGTTTGGGACATAATCATTCATGTTTTACATATTGTAATCAGCCCACATTGATGCGGCTATGGAATCTCTAATCGCTTCTCCTATACTGGAGTCCTCACCATCACCACTACAGTGTCGCTCTTCTGATGGATTGGCATTTTCAAGTGCCTCATCAACTCGCGCAATCACATCCTCATCAGGATCAGCATCCATCTTGTAGTTGTGCAAAATAAAACATGCTAAAATAATCGCCTTTTGAGTTTCAACCCCATAGTGAGGGTGTTCACTTGCAATAATAGTCCAAACCATTTTTAGTACACCGAAGGCACGCTCAATCGCATTCCTTAACGCTGCATGTCGAAGATTGAATAGTTCTTGTGCGTTTCGTGGCGCATTGCGGCGGGAGTACTCTTTCAAGTGATAACGTTGTCCTCGATATGGTGTTATAAGACAACGTTTCAACATGAATCCCGCATCAACAAGATAATATTTTCCTAAAACAATATAAATTGATCATATAAATTTTTATATTTCAAATTACTCAAAATACACTTACAAAAAGTTATACTTTATAATTAAATACCTTCCGGGACTTTTAGATGATATTCTCTTGTTAATGCATCTTTGATTATTCTAGAGTCAGATGCCGTACCCTCCCATCCAGCTAACACATATGTGAATTTCAAATCAAATGAACATGCAGCCAAAACATTTACTGTAGGTTTATCTTTTCTACCACGATATCTAGGAGCTTCATTAGGAGACACTTTTACATGAATGTGTGTTCCATCAATAGCCCCAACACAATCCTGACATTGTAAATTTAATTTAGTAGTTTGATTTTGTAGTAGTGCTATATATACTGTTCAAATAAAATAAAAATCACCTTAAAAAAAGGATAGTATCGGGAGTTATTGAATATTTCTTCAGGAACTTCAAATCCATTTGGTTGTATGAGAAATCTGTCTTCCACTTCTAAAATAGCTCTCAAGACGTTATGAAAATGGCGACTATTTGTTTCTTTAGACCGATCAAAAAAGAAACGTAACGCCCGATTGGTCACACCATGTGCCAACACATATAGGGCTTTTGCTACCTGTTCTTCAACGCTAACTCGTATTGTGGGTCGAAGACCACCATATCTAACTAAGATATCACAAAGTCCTACGAATGCTTCTGCGCTCAATCGTACAATACCAGGTCCTGAATCATGAGTTACAACTCTATCGAACAGTATAGTCCTTACCCTTTCTCCCTCCAATGACAATACACGATTCACATTGTTTCGTCTTCGCAATCCAACCCAATACATAACAATGCATATGACTTTCGCTATAGCTAAATGTCGCATTCGAGTCAATTTATACAAATCTTTTAATTCGATCCTTCTACCGGTCATCCTTGATAAAAAAATATAATCATAAAAACACACATGGATTAAAAACATATCAATAAAATAGAAAATACATATACATATAAATAAAATAGAAAATACATATACACATGAATATATATATATATATATATATATATATATATATATATATATATATATATATATATATATATATATATATATATATATATATATATATAACCCAAATGCGGATGAATACCAGATGCATATACTTCGTATGTTAATTACATGATGATGATGATGATGATGATGATGGAAAATCAATTGATGGTAAGAAACACATGGAACAATATAATGGAACGGTGGGAATAGGATGGACAGATGATGTTGTGACCGGTGGAATCAAGATTTGAGTAAATAAATCAAGAGAAGAAGGGCAGACTTTGTTGGAATCAAGAAAAGATGAAGAAGAACGGAGAAAAAGAGAGCACAAACCTGGAAAACGAGCTGGAAGAAGTTGGAAGATGAGCTGCAAGAGGTGAACCGACTCTCTCTGCTGCGGAAGAAGAATGGACAGAGAACTTGTGTAACGTTGAATTATATTTTTGAAATAAGGGCAAAAGTTGTCCAACACTTCATTACACCCCAAATTGGAGTGTTTAAAAAATGGTAAATATAGGTGTTAGGAAGGTTATGAGTAACACTCTCAAACACTTACTAACACCCTTAAAAAATTAAATTTTTCTCCCAAACAAGCGTTAGACTAAACACTCCTTAACACTTCCATTACTAACACCCCTTAACACCCGATCCAAACAGGCCCTTAGGGATGGACTCGGGCCGGGTGGCCCGACCCGAAACCGGCCCGGGACCGGCACTGTTCCGGCCCGGCCCGACCCGGTGACCCGGTCAGTGACCGGTCCGGGTAGGCCCGGCCCGTGGATTTTCCGGTCCGGGCTCGGGTCACCCAAAACAAGGCCCGACCCGGCGGGGCCCGGGCCCGGTTCGGGCCAATTTTTTTTTTTTTTTTTTTCAATTTTTTTAACTTTTCGGGTTGGGCTGGGTATTTTGGGCCATTTGGGGTGGTTTGGGGGGTTGGGGGTGGGAGGGGGGTTAATTAGGAAGAGGAAAACAAAAAAAAAATATACATATAATGGGCCCGGCCCGACCCGACCCGACCCGACCCGACCCGGCCCCGGACCGGACCCGGTGGTTACCCGGGCCGGTCCCGGGTCCACCATTTCTGACCCGCCGGCCCGCCCGGGCCTAGGCCCGACCCGGACCCGACCCGGCCCGGACCCGAGTCCAACCCTACTACCACTCACTTGATTGATTCAAATCATTACATTATGTTTAATTTAGGTTTAAATAATTCAACTACATCATTCTTATTGGTCTATGTGGACAAATGTATGATACCTTAAGGGTAACATAGAATCTACCCCATAATTATCCAATGGGTCACAACTTTCAGAAGTCGGCGCTAGTGTTTGCCCATAAGAAGTTGACAAATCACAAGCCTTTGAGACCCAGTCTAACGAATGCATATAATATAGTATAATTATAGGGAAAAACAAACAAAATATTATATGCAGGAAAATACCAGCTATTTCCCAAATATGTGGATGTGTCCATTAATGAAAGAAGCAAGCAATCACACAGTTAAACAGATACACTACCAACTTCTTTAATGTCTGAACAATGATTGGAGTGCATATTACAATCTTCCCAACCATACATATTAGAGTACATACATAGCTGTCATGTTTTATATACCTTACAAAGGACACTTGTAAGAAGAACAAGAGATGATTGATATTATATCTAAAGATATATATGAATATAATAACACTACCAGCTTAGCAAGTTCTTTCCGTGTTGAACTTTCTCACTGTACCGGCTTTCTATATCATCCTGCACAGCAGGGAACTGGTTTAGTTTCTAGAAAGAGCTGATTGACTTTAATGGATTGATTGACTATACATATATTTTGGGCTGGCAAAGTAAAATGTACCTTGCAGGATTTTAGCAAGGGTTGCAAGAAGGAATTTCTAAAATATGTGACTGATTTCCCGAGTGAGGTTCCATCCCATTCTGGAGCTGGAAAGGGTAAAACCCAGTGAATCAAAGGTAAAATGTAAGTGATGCAATACATATTAAAAAGGAAAAATAGCATTAGCTATCTTCAATAGAGATGTTGGGAATTATTATGAGCAGAGTATATAGCGGCTCGGACTTTCAGTCCAGATGATGGGGCATACCATTGTTCATCTCAGCTCTAGAGCCTCCCCTGTTAAGTTCTCCAAGAAGCTGCTTATAAAAAATGGAACCACATATGATATTTAAAAACAACAAATGAACAAAAACTTGTTTTGAGTTACAAAATAAAGATTATATAAGCACACGTGATTGGAAGCAATAGTTTTTTAACATCATTTCGCCACTAGAAAGATAATTGTCATGTTATTTTTTCCCGCTATGACTTGACACTTTAATTAAGAAAGTGAAAATGCGGTTAAGGGTTATTTAAAAAGTGAAACCATTTTAACCACGCAATTCTTTTTTCAAATGAACGGGATGAAAAAAGAAAAGGTGGAAGAAAATCATGGGGCATGAGTATAAATTAACATTGAAGTATGTGCTCACCACAATCATCGGTTCATCCTCAAGTAATCAAGGATATTTAGATTTTTGAGGAGGTTTTTACTTGGACTAAAATTTTCTGGTCTGGTCTGGTCCGATAAATGTCTGGTCTCTATATATTTTATAACTATGCAAGTCTAATCTGATCTGAGACTGAAAACAGTCCAAGTAAAAACATCTTGAATCTTAATGTAGTGTAAATGTATATAATTATATAAACAAGATGAGTGTGAACAATATGTAAATTGATTTGTTGACTTTCAAACATAGGTTTTTCACCTAAAATTTCCTTTCCTACTACATTTCTCTAGGGGTGAGTAAACGGGTATAGTCGGGTAATGCATTTTCGAGACGGAATAGGGCCGGGTCCTAATTTTAAAAAATCCAAATGGGGCGGACTGGTCTTAAAAAACTTAGGAACCAATATGGTCTTAAAATTTGAAAAAATGGGTACCCAGACCGACCCATTTTAGAATATTATTTTATTAAACTCTATTATATTTAATATTTAATATACTAACAACAAATGAAAGCTCTTCATGTTCTTATGTCTTAGAAAAAATCTTAATTGAAGAAACTCATGAGTCTACTATAAAGAGTTCAAACATATAAACTCCTAATTTATTATCCCTAATTCTCTATTCCAAATGCCACAAATATCCTTTATTTAATTTCTTTTATAAACAAAGATTTTAAATAATTTATTTACTTAATTTCTTTTATAAACAAAAATTCTCTATTCCAAATGCAACAAATATTCATTTAATTATCTTTAACTTTACTTACATTTTGAGATTTATTAAGCTTTAAATTGTTCTCTTGGACATATATGTAAAGTGACTAGTTCAAATTTTTACGATTTTGTTGTGCTATTATTTGGTTTATGGATGATGATGTCTAATTTTCTACATTTCAAAATTTAGTGCTATTTAATTTGTGTAATTGTGTGCTATTTAATTTATATATTAGTGGTTAGATATTTTGTTACGAATTCAAAATTTTGTTATCAATTTTATATTTTGAAATTATACTATATTATGGTGACATTGATATCTATTTAGTTTGAGAATGTTATTAATTACTAACTACTTTGTTGGCGTAACGATATTTCTTTACAAGAAAAGAACTACGAACCGGACCGAACCGGCTCGTTTCAAACGGGGAGGATAAGGTCTGGTTCTGATTTCGAGACTTGGCATACCCAACCCGAATTTACCTGTTTAATGGAATAGCCAGTTCTTGAAAATTTATTAATCAACTAAACCTACCCGGACTGTGCCCACCCCTACATTTCTCTTCTATTTTCCTGTATTCTATTTCCCTATTATTTCAGGGGTACAACTTGAGTACTTGACCCCACGAGAACTGGGATCAAAGCAATTGCATTGTGTTTTAATTTACAATCACATCAAGCATTTCATTTCCCAGCACAATATACCAGTGGGCGTATGAAGTGAAGTGACACGCTATTGTTTGCATATGAAGCACTCCTGTATGCAAGTTATGCAGCATTACAGTTCAAACTGAAACTGTTTGGGCGAACAGTATATGGAATACTAAGTTACTAACTCAATTTGTTAATGACCATTCTTTTTGTATTATCGAGAAGCTTTACCACAGTAACTGGCAACCATTTCTTAATTGGATAAAATAGGACTTCAACAAGATGAATAATAGGTGGCAATAGAAAAATAGTATCCAACAACAAAACGTACTTGTGAAAGAGTTGGCACAGCAGAGGGGTCAAATTCCTCACATTCATTGGGGTCAATAGGAATACAGACACGGCCTGCAGAAAAAGAAGTAACTTATCAATATGAATCTATAATCTTTAGATATTCAAGTGTTGGCATTTCTAGTATTGTTTGCATGACCAGGAAATAACCCTCACAAAGAAAAAGTAATAAACAACATTGTCAAGTACCTGTTTGGGGGTGCACGCAGAATGGTGCTTTCAATAAATGATTCAATTTTTTTGAAACCTGGATATTGCTAGCATGTTAGGTTTATGCATCAATAATTTATAAAAAAGATATTGTTCTCAATTCTTGTTAGGAAAAATTGAAAAGGGCATGTCCCAAAATGCTGCAGTTGCATGTGTAACAGAGAAATAGAAAAGGAAAGGATGAGCAAACAAACCTCCATATCAAGCCTGGGGTAGGCGAAAGAAAACACAATCTCTTCAACACACCTGCGAATCCCCTGGGCCTGAAATGTGAAATGAGATCATATTCAGAGAAACATCATTAAACTGAGCATAATAGAAATTCAAAAGAAAATGTCTACTTGAAGAATCTGTTGAGAGCTTTTCAGTGGCAATTAGGCAAATGTGTAATCCACAGTAGAAATTCATAGAATAGGTATATTCAAAAAAAACATGATGAAAATTGCGGCATAAGATTGTCACTGTACCAATTGGAAAATGAAAATAAAATTTTTAGATACTTGAAGATGCAAATGGGACGCTAAAAAAAGATGCCAATGGGAAAATGCATGATACCGATGCGGCTTTAAAGAGTGTTTCCGTGAAGCATATACCTTGTGTTTACCAGATTGTAGCAGGTGTTTTAGTTGTTCCCATCTGTAAACATTAATATCCTCTTTGACACGTTTATTTTCCTGCCACCTTGATCTGAGTTCAGATGCAATATCTGCAACAAATCAACAATAACCTATCATAATATTTAGGAGATGAGAAAAGAAAAACTATAGTTCTGTATGGAGAATGATTCACAAAAAATAAACATCCATACTCTCATCAGGAATCAATTTCAGCATCTCCTCACATCTTTCCTGGCTTGAGAGCAAATTTTGACTTAGAAGCAGTCTTTTCTCAAAAAAATCCTTCAAGACATCTGTGTATGATCTCCTGCAGAGGATGAATGTGAACTGAATGAGAACATAGGAAAACTTAAAATCAGGAAAATGTATATAAAGCAGGACAGAACACAAAATAACTTAAGACTCTTACTTACACGAGGAAAGGATGAAGTGTTGGACCCATGAGAGAAACTTTTCGATTGCTATTCTCGTTTCCCTGAATTTTATAAAAACTCATATGTAATATAATATAGTACCTTTAATTATTTCAGTGCTACTAAAACAGTTGTCAAGAACCTTGTAGACACGAAAGTAATCAGCTACAGCAGCCCTTTGTTCATTATTCAACCTGATGAAAAAGAATATCAACAGAATTTTGCAACTTCAATTCTCAATGTATCACAATCACTAATTAAAACTGTAACCCTATAGCGCAGCATCACCTTCTAGCTTTTACATCACATACCCAACAATGGACACCACGCCGACCACTGTAAACCCAGAGAATGTGATTGAAACCAAAGTCCTCTGCGAAGAATGGTATCAATAAGTGTGGAATGGTATTCAATTACTATTCAAAGATAATGACACTGTTTATAAGGGAATGACATGAAGACACCTAAACAGTGAATAGAACAATGAGGAAACCTACATACAGGCAAGTATTTAACAATGGCATCACACATACATTTACAGTGAAATCTTATCCAATTGAAAATAACAGCCAAGTGGAAGCAAAAAGCTTCAATCCCTCAACACCAAGAAACAAGCTGGATGAGCAAGAGGATGCTTTCTACTCCACATTTATTGTGAACGTGTCAGGTAAAATTTATATTCAACTGTTAATAGACAACAGGATACACGAAGATAGTGAGACCTAACAACTTAAAAAGACCTACAATCAAGATTTAGCAAAAAAGTGTGCACATCTACCGGCTTAATTTGGTTTTAGTATTTCACTCATTCAAACATCATTGCAATAAGACATAGTTGCTTAGTTTACACGACTTGCATACCTCTGAGAGAAGTATCAATGACTTTAATAGCAACTGTCATCAGTGTCCAGCAGTTAGAGCAAGTATTAGCTTCTTTGCAGCAATACCTGACATCATCATAATCTGATATATCCTGCAGTCAACAATAAGCCTGTTAGATTGAGATAAGCATATTATCATTCACATAGGTCAAGAGCTTACTATATCGAAGACCAGCTCCTTCTCAATCGGCATGAAGCTATTATCGCCTTGTGCATAGGCGTGCCTTTTTGCTGGCTGCAAAATGGGGCTAAAAACGTGTTAAGAAGGATTAATACGTTTAGAAGCACCAAAGGACTAAAAAGATATCCACTTTTCACAAAGACAAGTTGACAATTATAAAAGGGGCCATGTTAAAGGGAGAAATAAGTATAGAAATAATACATCCACATTATAAACAGCTCCAATGTCAATTTTGAACGGACACTTCTCCTTGATGGATTTTTCCAAATCATAAGCATTATTGAATGATTGAAACCGCAGATATATGTTATTATCTAAAGTGAATGAAAATTCTCTACGTCCGAAGTATGACTGGTCACATCCAGGATGCTTTCCATCTACAGAAATCCAATAGGACATGTTCAGTAATACTGAAAAAACTGAAAGCAAATTGAAAAGAACGAAATACAGTACAGCCTATGCAGCTCAAGAAATTAGGATTTACCGTTTCCATAAGAAAGCCATTTAAACATATCAACATATGGAAAAAGCTTTCCTGCCACACACAAAAAATATAGTAAGGTCACACTGAAGTACTACCCCCGTCCCATTATGTAACATACATGTGTGTTTCAAACAGATTCTATAAAAATAAAAGATAAAGTGGTTTTACAATTCTAACCTCCAAAAGTAAGAACAAGTAAGATGGATCCACAAAAAGTAAAGAGTGAATTGATAGATAAAATGGATATAGTAGGAAAGTAAAAAGTAGTGGAGTCCAATTTAAGAAAGTGTTCATATTTTTGGGACAACCCAAGAAGGAAAGTGCATCTTACATAAAAAGACAGAGGGAGTATAATATGAAGGAGGAAATGCCATTAAAATGAATAAAGTGCAGATTTTAAAATAATGATGAATTTGTGTTCACTCCGACCCCAATATCTTTTGGGACTAAGGCTGGGATGTTGTTGATGAATTTGTGTTCACAAATACAAATGAAGTAAGCATACATTCGGGATACAAAGAAAGGAGCAGAACAAGGTCTAGTTTTTACATCACTTCACTTCATCAGAATTCATCACCACCACCACCATCATCCATCCATCTTAATCCCACCAGCTATGTTGGAGTGAGTGGCATGGCGTTTATGATGTTACTTAAGTAACTAACAGTAATTAACACGGTATATTCATGAAAATTATGTATTGTCATTATAAACCCTCATTTCGATTTAAAAATTATGTAATTCATAACTGACATTAAACATTATGAAGGTATGAATTAAACTACCATAATAAACTTTGAGATAATTCGAATTGAAGCCATCGGGGAACGAATTGTCTTGCTCTTGTCCAACTTCTTCACTTGTCATCTTGAATAGTTATGCAACCCAAATATTCTCTGCTAGTAACAAACAATAATAAGAATTGGATAGTCAGATTATTGATGAACAAACCGTATAACCGAAAAACAGGGCTGTTCCAATCATTCTCCTGGCCCAATGCAAGATAAAATCAAGGGTCCAACTCATTGAAGATATGTAAACAAGCATAAAGTTACAATACTAATTTTTCAACACTTTGCAAATGAAACTAACCATGGAAGGAAAATTCTACATATTTTCACCATTCCATTGCTGAAGTTATTAGTCATAAACACATTTAAATCAGTACTGTATCGTATCATTTTTAATGCATCAAATCATCAATTCATTCAGCTGTTATTTTTCATTTCTAATTAAGTGTTATATGGGCAACACTGTCCTTCGTATTTGAAAAGTATTAAAAATAAACCCCTAAGCCAAGTACTAAGTGATAAAATTAGCAGTAGCCACCGGTCTAGCGCATGTCATTCTAGCATGTTAACAGTTAAAATTTAGAAAGAAAAACTACAACAAAATCATAGAAAGATCAAACAATACAAAATCAAAACTTAACAGAAAAGTTAAAGCAATCAGATATTGAGAACAATTGAGAGCTAAAGAATTGAAAACTTAAAACTAGTTAATTGAAAAATCATACTTAAATAACAAATTCGGTTCAAGTAGTTAACTCGATTTACCAATTACTAGAAGAAGGTAAAAGGAGCATCAAAGTGAAGCTGTTATGCAGTCAGAATGTCAGAAACTCAAAAATGAAGCACAACCCTGTGCCAAGACGCAACAACCAAAAGGCACAAAAAATGCTCTTGGTAAAACTTTTATAGGATCAAGCATTTTAATCCAGAGTGGGCCAAAAAGTAATATACATAAAATAAATTCAGTTGCAACAAAAAGGTAAACTGCAAAAACAAATATTACAAATGTTTTACAAGAATACGAGTTTTCATCATAATCAAATAGAAATAAAACGACACAAATTCACAATTGCTTTCTACAGGTTTTCATAGGCTGGTACCGCTTGATAATGACATAGGCTGATACCGCTTAATAATGACATCAATACATCATTGTCAGCTTTCAGGAAGAATTTTTGCAAGAATAGTAATCATATTAATACTAAAAATACTCGTGACCTAATTAATAAAAAGGGAAAATAACTTTAAATAATACATATTGTCTTCCATGAATCAAGAATAATACATACTTTGATAATAACTTTTAATAATACCAAAATATCAAATAAGTGACCCTATTGACAAATATCAAGTATTTGATGGTTCGATATCAGTTTTTGATGCCTTGATTGACTAGATTCCTTGTCGAAAATAGCTCATATTATTTTTTATATATATTGTAAATTGTAATAGTTGGTATTATTAGAACTCATTTCCAAAGTGTGTGTTCTTATTGATTTGAGTGATAGTTGGTATTATGTAAAGTTATTTTCCCTATAAACAATGGGAAATTGGGAATTGTGGGATTAATATAAATATGCAAAAAACACACTAACATTATACGGAGTACTACGTATTTAGAAACAGAAAAGAAAGAATCACACTTTGCCAGCTCCTAACAATATTCTGGGAAGTGGGAACAGGGAACACTCTTCAAAATATACTGACGTTATTTTTAGAAACAGAAAACAATAAGAACCACACTTCTGCAGTTCCTAACAATTAACTAAAGAAGAAGTCAAGAAACTACTTAAAATAATACGGAGTTATAATCAGTAATCATAACCCCTAAGTCCTAACTTGATGTTCTGCGCTTATCTAAGATGCACTCTAACATTACATTTTTACCTGGCTAAGTCGTGCCCGGTGCGGGTGGCCGTTGGGCGGGGTGAGTCGCAGCGGTACGTCGGTCGTCGATGAAGACGCTACGAGCAGCAGTTTTATGATATTTTGGGCCGATCTAAAGTTGTTTTCATAAAACTTAGGACACACTTCGGCAAATTTTGGTAGGCCTTAAGGCCCTTAACCCTTACGTGCCGAAGTCCAAATTGGCCCGGGATGAATTTGGTCTTCTTGTGTTTTGATTCTTTTTTTATCATGAAGAAACTCGCTTATATAAATAATAATCAGAGTTTGTGCAAGTAACAAAATGAAAAAAAATCCCCTTCCAACCGTCAGTCCTTGAACTAGGCTAGAGACAATCACCTTACAAAAAGCAATATAATTCACTAATCCTATAATGAGTATAACTGAGTTAAATACGGTCAAAATAGACTTTCCATCACCCGACCCAAGCTCCGGAGTCTGACAGAAGTAATACAAAAACACAACCAACATAACATCTTGATCAACCCAAAAAACTAAAAGAAAGGCAAAACTAGTAGAGACAAACCGCTTCCTTAGAATTACGAGAAGCATCGTTTCTTCTTACAATGAAGACTTTTCCATGATCTCAGGCGGGCCTTGAAGTGTTGTATTCCAAACCCTAGACATGCGGCCACTTCGAGGCAACGGTTCAGGGCGGGGGGGTACCTAACCTTTGCGGCTACCCTCAAATAAGGAACCCTGTCTGACCAGCCAACCACTGAACTCAAACATTCCAATTACCCACAAACCAAATAACAAAGATAAACATCGATCTCACAAATCCGACCATGTTTCATTCCGAACGAGAGACATCGATCTCCATGATTTCCCCTTACCAACTTCAAGTGGTACAAAATAGCCAGTGAACAATGAACGTAACATAACGTCGGTCGGAGAAAACTAAAGTTGCACGCTTAAAGCGGCGGAAGAAAACCCCTAAGCGAAAGTCGCTAGAGTGTGTGTTTTGATTCTTTGAATAGTCACTAATACAAAAAATACTTTTCACATTATCTAAAACAAAGTTTTGACATCTAGTAAATCAAATACTTCGTATTTCATACGGGTTAAACAATCTCTATAGATCTGGGCAATGAAGAGTTGGAAATTACATTTGTACATGACTTGTACACAACATGTACACACTATATGAACCTAATTTTTTAGCATTTTTTTCTTCCATTTTTCCTCCTCTTCCTCCTCTCTTCCCTCTCTCTCCTTTCTCTCTTCCCTCTCTACCCAGCCAATTCGAATATCCAAGGATCCTCTTATTCTCTTCTTCATCCTCCTCTTGCCTTCTTCATCTTCTTCTCTCTACTTCATTATATCCATTGTTTTCCATCACTTACACAAACTCAACTTATTTATCTATTTTCATCTGTTTTTATTATCTTTTCACTTTTTTCAAATTACATGTAAATATAGCACACATATAACTACATTATTCATTTGCATGTATATAGAAAATTAAATATTTTGTTCACTCATACAATTAAAATTGATTACACACATAACTAAAGTAAATCACACAAACTACTGTTGCCTGTGAGCAACATAACCAGGGCCGGCCATAGGGGGTAGGCACCTAGGCAGTGGCTTAGGGCACCACTCCCAAGGGGGGCATCATTCTCCTGTCCAACAGGTTTTGGTTCGAACGCCGTCCGAACAACGCCTTTCGGGGCGGTTCCCGCTGGAATTTTTTGATGAAATTTTTATGGTATATTCTTCATCAAGTATAGTTTATACACAAAACATTTCAGCTCAAAATCCGATCGGGAAGGCCGTCAAAGAAGTTTTGGAAATTAACTGCGCAAAATTATACATAGAAAAACGCAGTCAACTTCCAAAAATTATTTGACGGCCTTCCGGATCGAGTTTTGAGCTGAATGTTTTTGTGAATAAACTAGACTTGATGTTTAACATACCATAAAAATTTCATCAAAAAATTCCACCGGGAACCGCCCCAAACGGCGGTGTTCGGACAGCGCCTCAGGTCCGAACTTTCGGACCTGAGAATTTTCCTATATATATAGAATAAACTGGCCCAATAAGAATTACTGATCATGATGATTACCTCGTTGATAAAAAACGGAGTTTTAGTGACAAACACTAAACTCGGTGCTTGCAAATGGTGAAAAAAGTGTTATCTACTCTTGATTATGGTGATGTACTTACAAATTTGCACATCAAAAAGCAAGAAGAATATGTTATTATGTAGTACTTTTATAATTTTATTTATTTCTTTGAAGAATTTATATTTTCACATACTTTACATCAATTTTAAATCAGGTATTTCTTTTTACATTTAGTAAAAAATGATGTTATAATTTTCAAATTATTTCATATTTAATTATGTTATTAATTTGAAGTACAATTTGATATCATTAGTTATTTTTTGTCTAGGGCACCAAAATTTCTAGAGACGGCCCTGAACATAACTATTGTCTATGTAATATAATCTATGTAACACAGACAATAAAAAATGATCACGCAGACAACTATTGTTTGTGAGTCCTATAACTATTGTTTGTATGGTATAATTTATTTGAAAATCTAGATTTTGGTCACATACAATAATTGTCTATGCACAAACAAATATGGTTTGTGCACACAAACACTGCACACATATAGATTGATTTGCACGTCAGTGTTTGGCGGCTATCAATGTACTTTTTACACAAAAACTAATGTATGTTGACACAAATAACTCTTGTTTGTGCTCACGGGCAACTTCATACTAATTGTATGTGACCGACATTTTGTGTACAAGTTATGTACACGAAGCAATAATCGATAATGGGTCACACATGGCCAAAACGGGGGCTCGCTGGCCCAAAACAATGTATTCATTACATCAAATATCCACGAGCATAGTTTATAATTTGAAAATAATAAAGGAAGCACGAACCACGTCTTCCTTTAGATCACTCCACCGAACAAGGTGCGGATAGCAAGCTTGGCTTCAACCTGAAATGGTGAGGGGGGGGGGGGGGGGGCGAAGGGGTCAATACAAGTACTGAGCGAGTAACAAGCTAAATGTAGAGTAACTAACATTTCAAGTATAAGACTCAAACATAGGGTGATTCATACACGTATAGTCCTTTCCCTCAAGTTATGGAATACATATCATAATATATACACTTGGAAATACCTGACCCGTAGGTCATTGTTTGTCTGGGAAAATAATAGTAGTCAATGTCCTTGACTCAAATCTCAATCCACCCATATACCTATGAGTGTATAGGACTCCTCCTGGTCCAAATCAATTACTATAAGGACTTCACCTAGTCCATAATTCACAATTTATCATCTATGAGTTTTGAGGACACTTTAGTCCTTGGGTCCTCCACCATTTTACCTATGAGTTTTGAGGACATTATAGTCCTTGGGTCCTCCACCATTTTACCTATGAGTTTTAGGACATTATAGTCCTTGGGTCCTGCACCATTTTACCTATGAGTTTTGAAGACATTATAGTCCTTGGGTCCTCCATCATGAGTTTTGAGGATGTTTTAATCCTTTAGTCCTCCACCATGAGTTTTGAGGATGTTTTAATCCTTGGGTTCTCCACCATGAGTTTTGAGGATGTTTTAATCCTTGGGTCCTCCACCATGAGTTTTGAGGATGTTTTAATCCTTGGGTCCTCCACCATGAGTTTTGAGGATGTTTTAATCCTTGGGTCGTGCACCATATTCGTATATGCATCCCTATGATCTACCCCATATCATACATAGATAATAGGGTCTACATCATATTATTGTCAAAGATTAATCCAAGCATTAGAATCAAACATTAGATATCAAACCTTGACATTTAAATGTCGTATTCCATGCAATTCCATGCACAATATACATATATAGGATGGTCGGGGTTAATCCCCTTTCAAACCAGGCCCCGTTACTCATTTTCGGCGAAAACGAAAACTTGGGCAGCAGCTTAACAGGCGCCAGTTATACCCTCTACTCAGCGCCGGGTATGTGTACATTTTCCCAAACCGGCCAGGCAGTAGCATAACCGACGCCGGTTCACTGTCTACCTAACGGCAGCAGTCCGTTGCCCCCCCGGATGACCTCCGATTGGTCCGAAACTTTTATACAACATGTATTGGGTCTTAAACAACCATAATATCCACTTTTAACCATCCAAAACATCACATCTGTTTTTATGTACATTTTATACTTTTATCATGCATGAACGTGTAGTATTATTCGCATAAGCCTAATCATCTTGGCTAATCACATGCTTAAACTCTTTTAAACATTATTATAAATACTTATCACATTTCTTTAGGTAATCTCATACTTAACCCAAGAGTTACAAGACAGTAAGCCATCCACTCACCTTCTATGAGCTTTAAGAAAGTTCTCCCATTCCCGATTGAACTCCAGTAAAACTCCGACGAACTTTGATGAACTCCGGTGATAACTTCGGCGACTCTTTCAACTCCGTGAAAGTGTTAGGAACACCTTAGACAAGTTCCTAAAAAGGTTTTATCATTACAAAACCCATATCAATACAAATAACCTGTAAAAGGTTATTTTTCGGCGAACCGGCCACATTGGCTTCTAAGTTCGTTCTTGGACTTAGAAGTACCTTCCAACCCCACATTCTACACTCCTAAACATGTAGAGCAAGCATGGGGTTACTCGTATACTATACAAGTCATATGAAATTTGAATGGAGGAAGAAAGGTTACTAAAGAGCTTCTTACCTCTATTCCTAAGGCTTTTCTCTATTTCCGTAGCTCTTTCTCCTTCATTGAGTCCCTTGCTTGTTTGAGCTTGCCTTGGTTATGGAGGATAGAAATTTCAGGGCTCCTTCCCTTGCTCAGAGTATGCTTGGCTGAAAATGAGAGTGAGCAGGGAGTGAAGATAACCTTTTGTCTTATTGACTCAATGAGTGTGAGATGAGGAGCCCACCTCATTACATTAGATGCTCTTCTAATCAACCCCAACATCTCCCGCCTTCCTCCTCTCCTTCCAGCCGTCCAACTTTGGCGTGTTAAGACCCAATCCATGAGTTTGTTTTATCGGGCCCAATAAAATATCTATTGGGTTAATGGCCCAACAAGGATTTGTCCATAAGCCCAAGGGCCACGCTACGAACGTCCCCAGAACGTAAGCCGGCGTACGTCCATAAGCCAACAGGCGCTGTACCTAGGAGCGGCTGGGTTAAGGCGACGTACGTCCCCAACAGGACACCAAGGCCCCA